TGGAGAAGACCAGCATGCCAAACTTTGTCGAAAGCTTTAGATATGTCGAGAGCAATAGCCCTAGCCTCACCGCCTCCATCTAATGCACGATAAAATCTTTCAGTTACAGCAGTTAGCAAGTCGGCCGTAGAGCGAGAGGATCGAAAACCGTATTGATTGTCTTACAGCAGTTTATTTGACTCAAGATGAGATGTGAGGAATTTGTTGATCAAAGACTCAAAGACTTTGCTAATAACAGAAAGAAGACTGATCGGACGATAATTGGAGGGGTCAGAATTTTCTCCAGAGTTTTTGAATATTGGAACCACAGATGCTATTTTCCAACAAGCAGGAAAACAAGACTCAGTCAAACACTTGTTAAATAGTTTAGAGAGAATTGAAGAAAGTTCTGGAGAACAATTCTGCAAGACTGTGACAGGAATGTTGTCTGGACCACAAGCTGTAGACGAGTTTAATTGAGATATGACTTTAGCAACAGAAGCCGTAGTGATTTGAATGTCTAACAATTGGTCAACCTGTTTAACTGGAATGGAAGGAAGAGAATGTCCATAAGATTCAAGAGTGGAATTAGAAGAAAAGTTCTTTGCAAATAGTTCTGCCTTATCCTTGGGAGAGGTAATAAGATCAGTCCCATGAATGAGAGATGGAATGTTAGATCTACCCTTGTTAATAATGCTGTTGAAGATTTTCCAAAAGTCTTTAGAGCCTAACTTCTGTGATAAGATGCGAGATTTAGTTAACTGAGAATAATGGAGTTTAGCATCAGAAAGCACCTTTTTACATCGATTTCTTGCAATAATAAATAGCTGTTTGTTCTCAAGAGAGTTGTTCTTTTGAAAAAGATGAAAAAAATGATTACGATTGGATATAGCAGCCGCACAAGAAGGAGAAAACCATGGAGTAGAATGAGGCTTGACTTGAAACCGACGAGAAGGAATAAAAGCTTCCATTCCAGCCTGAATCCAGGAGGTTATGTAGGAGGCGCATTTGTCAGCTGATAGAGAAAAAACATCAGCCCAAGGACCATCACGAAGAAAATCATGAAAGGAATCCTAGTCAGCTTTAGGGTAGTAGTAGGTGGTGCGATGATAAGGTGAGCCCAAAAAAGAAGTACGAGAAGAAAGATTTATAGAGATCATTGCATGGTCAGAACCACCTAAGGGAGAAAAGGGAGAAACTGAGCATAAGCTAGAGTCAGAGACAAGACATAAGTCAAGGAGTGAAGGTAAATGATTAGGGTTGTCAGGAAAACGAGTCGCAAAGTTAACTGTCTGAGTAAGAGATTGAGAAACGCAGAAGTTAAAGGCTTTAGTGCCAGCAGGATCAGTAGTGTTAGAGCCAAGCCATTCAGTGTGATGGGCATTAAAATCACCAACAACAACAATATTGGCAGAGGGGTAAAGAGAGAGGGCATGGTCAATTTGATCAGAGATAACATCTAAAAGAGTGCAATCATGGGAAGAAGGAGAACGATAAAGAACAAAGAGAAAGGTGATAGAGTGAAGAGGTGCTAGGCAAAAGCACATAAAAGAATAGTCAAAGGATTCGAACCTGATTTCACGACAAATAGGGGAATTAATGCATTTGTATACCCCTAAACCTAGCATGTGACTATTGGAGTCTTTACGAATCAAAGGATAGTACCCATCAACACTGACATCTGAAGAAGGAATTGCAGAACTTAAATTTGTTTCACTGAGTGCAAGCAAGTCTGGTGAATTTTGCAGGAGGTAAAACTCAACTGACGGAAAGTTGCTTCGCAGACCCCGAAAATTTGTAAAAGATATATTAAAATATTTAGGTGGTGGGGATGGTTTTTTAGGTTTTAAATTTTTGGTTACTTTGGTCATGATTTGGGTTTAATGAGAACTAGACTCATTCACAGATAGAGTACAGCCTCCTAATCAATGAGCTATGCAGTTGTCTCAGTCCTATTAATTAACCCTAAGCCGTGACATAGGGCTCCTTATGTGGCCTTGACAATGCACACCAAAAGCATTAACAGGGACACCATCCATGCGCAACATGGCACTGTTAATACTCTGATATTTTGCAGCTGTTGATGGAATCAGCCTCTCTGAGAGCTACCACAGAGTTCGGGAAACCTTACTACCAGCCGGCCTCAGAACCATTAAACTGAGTTTTAGAGCTGTACCCTCATATGGAGATAACAGGAAGAGGTGCATAGCCATTATCAAGGAGGCATAAACAAAATTCTATGAGTAGAGTCAAGGAGATCCAGCATTCATCATCCTAGGCAGGAAACAATGTAACACAGGTTACATCTATGCCAGCCTAATAGATGAAGAAGGGGTTAGAGGCTGGTTAGCAGAATTTTTCTGCTTACCCCTAAAGTCTTTGCCTAGGAGGCCTTCTACAAGACAGTAGCAGGATGCAGTTAATATCTGCCCAAGATGAGTATTTTTATCGAGACACCATCTCTAGCCTTTACTTAACCAAGAGCCTCAAGGTAGGGGATTTTTAGCTGGATGCAGTTAACATCTGCCCAAGATGAGTGTTTTTATCAAGACACCATCTCTAACCTTTACTCAACCAAGAGCCCCAAGGCAGGGGAATTTTTAGTCGGAGTTTATTTCTCCTAGCCTTTGCATAAGAAGAGCACACTCTGCAAGGCAGCAGGGTTTGTGGCAGGTGGTACTGGGTTACGTGATACCAGTAGCAAGATTGATCTCAATTATCCTAACCTGACCTGGAGTAGTTAAAAGGAGTTACTTCCCGCAACAGTACTTTGAGAAAACCAGGCATGACATTTTGGAAGTGCATTAGGAAGAACACTGCATCTAACAAAATACAGGAGTCTAAGGTGAGTGTAGGTTTTGTAGTTGGAGTAAGTAGTTAGTTACTGAGCTCACACTGCATTAAAGTATAAACAGAACACAAACAAACATAAATCAACTTACGGGTGAGTCAACACCGCGCCAGAGGTTCAGACAGAACACAAACATACGTAAAAAAACATAAAAAACATAAACATAAAGTAACTTATGGGTGAGCGAACACCGCGCCAGAGGTTCAGATAGAACACAGACATACATAAAGAACATAAAGTAACTTACGGGTGAGCGAACACCGCGCCAGAGGTTCAGACAGAACACAAACATACATATAACGTAGAGTACAGGTGAGCTAATACAGTAACTAACGCACCTCTATTTATATGGAAAAAAAAAAAAAAAAATTACTATAGGCATGACTGATATAAGATAGTACTGATGACAGGAAGAACACTCCTTTCAGCCTTTGCTTAGATAGCAAATCCTGCAAGGCAGCAGAACGTGGAACAGGTTGCACTGGGTTACATGTTACCAGTAGCAGGATGATCATTAAGACCTTGGTGTTAAAATTTTCTTTTGACGACTTTTAGGCTTATTTACTTCTAAATTATTGTGCAATTTGATTTTATATATGAGATTATGAGACTTTCCAAACTCAGCAGCGATTTTACAATAAGATTGTCTAGATTTAAACCTTACCACAATATTTTTTTCTAGTTCAAGATTTATTTTCCTCATGATGATAATAACAATACTTTTTTTTATGTTTTGTAAACAAAATCAAACTTTAAATGATATTTAATCGTTAAAAATCTGTGAAAAGTTGATAACTCAATCATTTTAGTTATAAGGCTATTAATTTATGTTGTATGCCTAATTAACTGTGGACAAATATGTTAATTGCTTTCATTCGCGACAAAATTTTCACCATTAGCTTTTCACATAAAAATTTTTAAAAAAATTCAATATATTTTAAATTTAACTAAAAGCAATATTTTTAGTTAGCTAAGTCTAAAATTTAATTAATAAAACTAAAAATTCATTTTTCTTTACAGCTTTTCTAATAAAATATATATAAAATATTTTTTTGTTTGAACATGGTGACAATTTTGGCACATACTGTATATATATATATATATATATATATATATATATATATATATATATATATATATATATATATATATATATATATATATATATATATATATATATATATATATATATATATATATATATATATATATATATATATATATATATATATATATATATATATATATATATATATATATATATATATATATATTATGAATTTTTAGTTTTAAAGTTTTATTTTGTAGAAAATCAGTTTGTGCCAATGAAAGTAGATGTAATGTAAATGTTTTATAAATTTTAATTGTTTTTGTGTTGTCATGACATTTTCAAGCTCAAAATTTTTGTTTAAAAATGAATTTGGTAAGAATTGATGGGAAACTTAAGAGTACAATATACAATGTTTGGTAAATTTTGCCTCAAAAGACTTTTATTTATAGACAGAAAATTAATAAACCAGTTTTGATTAACCATTCTTGATAAATTTGTCTTTTGTGCCTTTTTGAATCAACTTTTCGTTTTTTGAAGATTGAATGTATTGATAAAAACTATTTAATGTGCAAAATGCGGCTTCCTTGGAATTTTTTATTTTAATAGTTTTTCAACTGAATCTTTTTAAATGTCCTAAATAACTAATATGTTGAATTTTCTTTGTTTAGATTTTTTATTTTTTATTCAATTTTATACAATGTGAAAAAATTGTTAAATGTTAATTATGATTTTTGTAATAGATTTTAGATATGAAAATAAACGTTAATAAGATTTTTTTATCGCCACTTTTTTTTAAAAAGAAATTTTGACGCAAGACGTTTGAGTCATTTTTTCTTTTTAATCTGCTACATTGCTTGTGTTACCTTATAACCTGTTTCCATTACTATTATATATGTGGTTAACAATGCGCCTGCGGCTACATTACTGTACCGCGTACTTCGGCGCATTGTTTGGCTCCCCTTCATATACATAGTTTATTTTAGTGACCTTTGGATTACTGGTGGTTACGATTTTAGTACAACATTATTCTATATAAAATTATAAAAATAAATATTAAAAAAATCTTCGATACTAGCCATCTTAAATATTATATTGGTTTTATTGTCTTCTATTATTTAGAGATGCTATGCAAATGGTGTACTTGTTAAGCTCCCTAGCATGCTTTCATTAGCATCCATTCAGCTCAAGGTAGAATATAGTTTTTTTATTTACACAAAAGTTCAGCAATAGATCTTTTGATTTGTTATAGCTTCAATTTGATTTATAATTTCAATAATTTAATAATACGTTTGTACAAGTATTGATACTAAAACCTTTAAATCCAACATCAGTTGAATTAGTTTTTGCGCTAAATAGCTTCTTTAAAGTTAAAAAACAATGGTTGTTTACAGAAAGTAGTTGATAAATATATATTTTGTACTTGGAAAATTAAATAATAATAACATTTTTATAATAATGACATTTTTAAAATTACATTTAAATATTTAATTTGTTAATGTTCTGTACACAAGTTTTTGTTTCGGCGTTTATCCGTTAAACCATTTTATGTTTGCTATCACATTGTGCTTTTTTGTAAGTGAATTTTAAAACATAGCAAAGATTGTTTATTGTGGAGATAAGAGATGAACGATAAAGCAGATGTTTTTTGTGTTATTCTCTCGACGATATTTTTAGCGATTTCCTCATACGTGCACTGATGAATTATATTCTAGAATTATGTTCTATGTTGAAACGTATGTAACAACGAAGTTTTGAATTGAAATTTTTTTAATGCTTTTATCTTAACAATGCCACGCAAGTTTAGGAATGCCATGCAAACTTAAGACATATGTGGAATATACGAGGTTTTTTTGAAAAGCTTCGGTCGGAGGAGGTTAAAATAACATAAAAATTATTTGAATAATAAAAAATTAAATTTTATATGTGCATATTTTACTAAAGTAGATGCATTTGAAATTATTTTTGAAATTTAGGCTTTTGAGCTTCGCTTATTTATTTTTTCAGGTTGCAGGTAAAAGTCGTGTCAGCAGTTCGTTATTTGATAGGTAAAATCCAGTCAATTTTTTATATTTTTAGTAAATTCATGTTTCGATATGGGTGTGTTATTCAGATTGTTTGAATGATGCTAATTTTTTTTTTTTAAGTGAAAAAAGTTCTAAAGAAAAAAAATCAAGTAAGGCAGAAAAATGGCCATTGACTGCAGGAGGTATTTTTAATTTTAGAAATCTAATCATATCATATTTAATAATTTTGGTTAAGATTTTTAGTGTTTTTATATCTATGGATATAACTCAATAAATAACAAAAAATAATATAAAAGTAAATTAACAAACGATTTTAATTTTTTTTTCTATAGTTTTATTATAGTAAATCGTAGAAAAAGTAATATTCTTTTATTTTTTAAGTGGCTATGAAGTTGTACAGGAATCAGTTAACTTTGTTCGAACATACTGAAATTCTCGATTATCCGGAGATATGGTATTTAGGTTTGGAAGCGAGAAAAATTGAAGGGGTTTCCGGCGCACTAATGAATAATGGTACGAATCATTTTTGTATAATAGTTGTTATCCTAATTAAATTTTTCAGAGCTATTATGTTGTTATCTAGGATATGATGACGAGCAAGGAGGTTTTATACGAGTAGTTAAAGATCATATTTCTTATCGTTACGAAATTATTGATACTGTTGGTAAAGGATCTTTTGGACAAGTTATTAAAGCTTACGATCACAAATGCAAAGAATTTGTTGCTATTAAAGTTATACGAAACAAAAAGCGGTAAGTGAAAATACAGTTCTAAATTCTAAAGAGGAAATCGTTAGCAATAAAATTTTCGTTTCATTTTCTGCTTTATTTGAGTTAAACTTGTTAAGGCATTGAACATTAAAACAACACAACTTAAAAATATTTTGAAACGTTTTAATAATTTACATAAATTTTCTTAATCAAGCAACAAAATTAGAATAAGGAAAAGTAAACATTTAGTTTTTAATTACTTTTTTTTATTTTATCATCACAAATAAGATGCTTGAAGTTCAAATTTTTTAATTAAACAACGTTGCATTTTTAATGAAACTTTTTGGTTGAAATTGAACCAAACAAAAAAAACAAAAAAGAATCTAAAATTTTTTGAATAACATTTTATTTAGGTTTTTCTATTACGCTGTTGGCGCGGCTATTTGATCTGGCTCACCTTAGTAAATGTATATTTAAGTTGCATATATAAGGGTTTTTTAGATTTCTTGACGGTAAAAATTTAGAAACGTTTAGTGTATAAAAGTTTAGTGAAAATGATATTAAATATCACCAATTAAGAAACATAAAAAATCGCGAAATATAAAGTTTGCGTTATCGATCGAGATGGAGACAAACTTGATGGGAATCGGGTGGAGATAAGTACAAACCTGGTGGGAATGGAAAATTGTTTATGGGAATAAAGTGGGGATAGGATTACTTTAGTCCCCGTGTCACTCTCTACTACATTAGTAAAATACCGGTTACAAAAACACGCTATTCTTTATTATATTTTAATATCGTAAATTTAATAAAAATCTTGTTTTAACAAATATGTATGTATGTATATATATATATATATATATATATATATATATATATATATATATATATATATATATATATATATATATATATATATATATATATATATATATATATATATATATATATACACACACAATTTTTATATTAGATTTCACCATCAAGCTTTAGTTGAAGTAAAGATACTTGATTTATTGAGAAAAAAGGTATGCATTTGTCATCTTAAAGCGTTAAAATGTTTTATAACCTAGTTTTACGTGCGCAAGCGCATTTACTAATTTTTATTATTGTTTTCGACGTTGATTAATTTTTTTTTTCTCATAGGATCCTGACATGCTTTATAATATTATTCATATGAAAGATTACTTTTACTTCAGGCACGTTATATTTCATTTTATACTTTTAATTTTTTTTTCTTAAGCACTTTTTGATTGCGCAATGACTATAGTAATTTTTATTTTATAGCAAGTCTTAAATAATTGTGCGGTCGTGTCGCGGTGGTTAGAGCGCTTGCTTTATAAGCAAAGGGATCCAGGGTTCGATGGAGTTCTGTAAATATTTTGCGCCATCGGTAAGAAAAAAGGCGTAAACTTCCTATTTAAATGCTCTTTTTCGCGGTGCTCTTTGACAAGACCGTAAGGTCTTCTTGAGGCACCTAAAACAAAAATTAAAATATATATTTTTTATAACAGAATTTTACGCGCGCAAGCGCATTTACTAATTTTTGTTATTGTTTTCGACGTTGATTATTTTACATTTTACTTTATATAATTATTTTATTTTATAATTATATATTTTTTGAAGAAATCTATATTTTAACTTTTCGCCACTATTTTTCAACATTGTAATGCATAATAAACTCTCAGTGATTCTAAAGTCTTGTTTGATGTTCTAGATTTCAGATCGTGGAAGGGAAGGGTCTAGATATTTTTTCAGATCGTGGAAGGGAAGGAGTTAATTATTAAAGTTAAAGACACCCCTTAATAAAAAATTGAAATAATAAATTTTGTTCATTTTTTAATTTAAATAAAATATATAAAAACTTAAAAATTTAGCAAAAAATGTTAATCTTCAATTTTTAATTTTTTTTTTTTTTTTTTTTTTTTTTACGTTAAAATATAGTATAGACAATTTAAAAATGCTATAACAATATCTTATTGTGTTGCATCCAACAATGATTTAATATGCTTTTGTTTGTTTTTATTTAGGAATCATTTGTGCATTTCTTTTGAGCTGCTTGGGTAAAAAAATTTTGAAATTTTGTTTTCTCTGTTCTAAGACTTTAAAATTTTACAAAAAATTTTATTTCAAATTTATAGGATGAACCTTTACGAGTTATTAAAGAAAAATAATTTTCAAGGATTCAGCCTAGATTTGGTGCGAAAGTATGTTAAATATTGTTTATTATATATTCAACAATACGTTATCTTTTTTTTTATTGTTTTATATCTCAAAATAAAGATACGTCATCATCTCTTTATTACCTCTTGTCGTAATTTTCCCGTTTAAAATCAATTAGTTAAAAAAAAAAAAATTCAAATTAGTAAATTTTTTGTCATTTTATGATTGATTTTATATAATCATTAGAAGAAAATTTTTTTTTTTTTTAATAATCAAAAAACAAATTTTCTGTCGATTTTTTTATTTTAAAACTTTTATTTTCTATATTTCCAACAGCATTTCGCTACATTTTTATTGGAAAGTGTTAATCGACATTTCATTTTTATATTTTATTTCATTACGATTTATTGCGTTAAATTACTAATATTAAGTTAAGTTAGTCCTATGAAAGATTCTTCCTTTTTTAGATTTGCTGTCTCTATACTGCTTTGCCTTCGTTTGCTTTATTACAATCATATCATCCACTGTGATTTAAAACCTGAAAACATTCTGCTTGAAAAGCATGGATCGACATCGGTCAAGGTGATCGATTTCGGTTCAAGCTGCTTGGAACATCAGAAAGGTATCACACCGCTTCATGTAACCTAATGTCATAATATGAATTTTTTTAGGTCCCTGGTTAGTTAACCTAATAATAAATATGTTTATCATTTGGTTATGTTAAAAACTATTTAAAAATTTTTTAACGTGCGCAACACAACGCAAAATATAATTAATATTTAAAGTGTTGTTTAGTTTACAGTTATATTCAAAGTAGATTTTATCGCTCTCCTGAAGTTATATTGGGTAAGATAATAGTGTTTTTAAAAGATTTTTTATTTCTAATGTAAATTCGAAAAAAGCATAAATAAAAACAAATTTTAGGTATTTCGTATTCTACCGCTATTGACATGTGGTCTCTCGGTTGTATACTTGCTGAATTACACACTGGTTTACCGATATTTCCAGGTGAGAATGAGATCGAGCAGATGGCTTGCATTATGGAGGTAAAAGTTGAATCATCGTGTGATTCCATTGCATTTTGGTTAATATGCGTCGTCCCACAATTCTAAAGTTCCGCCTTATAAACGTATTTTATTTTATTTCGTGAATTTTGTTTCGCTAAATTGTTTATTTTAAACGACCAATTAATTTTTTCCAGATATTTGGATCGCCCCCAATAACTTTAATTGAAAACTCTCAGAGGAGAAGGTTTTTTTTCGGTATTTTTTTTTTATATGTTTCTTGATAAAACTATTGGAGCAGTATATTAATAAAGTTTTTTTTAATAAACAGTAATTTCTTGATGATAATAAAGTTCATTAAATATGTATTTTTTTTATATCAATAGAAGTCGATTTATATCAATAGTGATCAACATTTTGCATTAAAAAACATAAAACAATTTTACTTCTTCACATCTGTTAACAATATATATTTTTTGTTAACCCTAATTTTTTTGTTAACCGCATATTTTTGTCTGATTATTTAGATTCGAAAGGTAATCCTCGTGCTTTTACAAACTCTAAAGGGAAAAAAAGATGGCCTTCAACGAAAGATTTAAATTCGTCCTTAAAATCCAATGATCCTCTTTTTATAGATTTTATTCAGCGTTGTTTTGAGTGAGTTTTTTTATGGATTTTTTTGTTGTTGTTGATGAGCGCAAAATCCAAAATTTATTGCGCAATTAAAATTTAATGAATACAAACTAATTTAATATAAAATTTGTATTCTATTTTGCTAATTTTTATAAATATCAAGTAATATCTTATAGACGATATTCTGTTTAGGTGGGATCCTTCGAAGCGCATGAATCCTGATGAAGCACTTCAGCACAGTTGGTTGTCAGATGTACGTATATCTGTAAACTTATGTATTTTTTTTATACTAGGCATGTATTCATCACGAAGGACGTAATGCATTACAATGACATTTCAACGCTTGCTTAAATCGTTTCAGTACAGAAACAAAGACAATTATCCGAAATTGAGAAACCAAGACGACAATAATTTATGAAAATAAAGCAATTATATCTTTAACTGAACATAAATATTTAATTATTACATAACGATTTTTATGACGCATTAAGATATTAATATATACGATATTCAAACGACGGTTTATTATTTGACGAAATTCAAACGACGGTTAGCTACATTAAGAACAATCGTTGTTAATGCTGACAAATTGTCTTATTTAAATCAAGAATTACTTATTTCTAATGAAAGTAAATTATTAAAAATGTTTTTCAAATGTTTAAGGTCGGATATAACGCCGTATCGTCTTCTTGCCGTATAAAATATAATACCATATCGTCGCCTTGTCATTTAAATGCTTACTCAGCTGAAAGTGAAAAGTTGCATGTTTTAAATCTTCGTACCAAAGACGAGTATAAGACGTATTATACTGTACAAAGACGAAATCTTATCTATCGTCATGGTAATGTATCAGCAGAAAATGACGAAAGCAACATATTTAGAAGTAATAGCATTATTAGACATACTCAAAGTCTTCAATCAATTGATGAATTCCGAAATTTTGGTTTTTTAAATTCTAATACAGTAGACTGCTGTCTCCCTAGTGACAAAGTGACCAAAAAAGATGTTTTAAAGACAATGAGTGATCAAATTAATTTATCTAATTGGTCTATTCGAGATAAAGATAACATTTTGCCACCCATTAGATAACCATAGTAACCGACTTAGGCACAGCAAGCTTAAAAAAAGAGAAAAGTATAGATTTATATGGTTTGCTTTACAAAACGATTGATCAAATATTTCTTCTCAAAGTAGACTGATCTTTTAAATTGTAATTTAAATATTTTTTACAAATTTTAGACAATACTGAATTTTACCCAACCAAAAGAAATTTAATATTACCAATAAAATAAATTTTGTCTGGTAAAATAAAATAATTACGACTTCAAATAGGTTAAATTTTATATAAAAATCACTAATATACAGTTTGAAGGAAATGAGAAAGCTAATAACGTTCCTTCTTTTAGAGCATTTTTTAAAGGGAAAGTTCTTTGAAACCAAAGTGGTTTTTTTCCGAGTATAATGCGGAATGTATTATTGCGGATTTTCGGAAAAATTCGGAATTTGTCTGGTCCCCCAAAATTAATTCGTTTATAAGAATTCCGAGAACTTACAAAATGTGCACGAGTTCTACTTTTTGTACATATATTGAGATGCAGGCGTAAATGAAGTCATTCCCTTTCCAGAGGTACCGCATGTTCCAATGCCAATCTATACAAAGCAACAAAAAAAGATTTAACTTGACACTAGATTCCTTAATCTTTATTTCTTATATTACCTACCTTTCCTTTTCCGTCAACAGCAGATGCAAAAATACTTTTTTTGTTTAAACCGCGTACTTTGTTTTTTCCCTGAATACAGAAATAAAGTATTAATTTTGAACGTTTTTATACTAGTATAGTTTGTATTCATTAAATTTTAATAGCTGAGATGAATAAGTACTTAGGAATATATAGGTTGCAAAGTTAATGTTTTGAAAAAATCTACTTTGATCAGTCATTTCAAAGCCTAATTTTAAAGTTTTATAAATCTGATCCAAGTAGATTTTCTTAAAACATTTATCTTGTGAATTAAGTACCTTTTCTTCTCAGCTCTTCTTATCTTAAGAAGTTTTTATTTATCTCATTTGACGAATTATTTAAACTCAATCATTGGGTCATTTAGAAAAGAAAAAAAACATTCCAATAAATAAGAAAAACAACCGGTCTATTAGAAAAATAAAAGTTTTTTTTTAAATAAAAAACTCTACGACATTTAGCGGATAGAAAATTATATCATAGATCTATAAAGGGAGAAAAAGCTCTAAATTGATTATACAATAAATAAACCCTTTATCATTATAACAATCTGCATAAACAAATCAAAATTATTAAAATTTAACGAATGTTAACTCGTATATCTACACAATGAAATATTAAGAAAAATTAAATAAGAAAAGAATTTATTATAAATGATTTGAATATTCAAGTTAAATCAAGTTTGTATAAAGAAAAAATAAAATGTTAGAGACAAAAACATAAAATAAAAAAAAACTTAAATATTTTACATACATAATTTTAATTATAATTTAACTCTTTTTTACATCACACATAAGGAATCAGCATCTGCTTCTTTTGAACATTTTCCTTAAATATATGATGCAATTTCAAGTGAGTTATAACCCTCGGAATTAGGAAAAATGAGGTCGGCAATAATTTGCCGACCTCAATCTTTTATATGTCGGCAAAAAAAATTTGATACAAAGGTCTTACCATAAAACATTGAAATGAGGTCGGCAAACTCATTTTTATCAAATTTCCGTACTTTATAGTTAGTGTTTTTCCATAAAGTACGTGCAGAGGGCTACTCAAAAAAGTACAAGAGCGTACAATGGGAAGGGGGGGGGGGAGGTTGAAGACAGGAAGTACGCACGCAGTATGATAATCTGTCGTAAAACTAATTTCTTTTTTTAAACAAAATCGTTGAATTTCACGAGTTTAAAAAATTAATATTATTTTATGTAACAGAAATGACGAATTAGCTAAAAGTTTTTTTTGTTTTTAATGTTTTCAAAATTTATGTGGGGTTATTTTGTAATAAATAATGCGAATGCGTACGTACGCAAAGGGGGAATGGTTATTGAAAGCATACAGATGCTTTTAAGGGAGGGGGGTTCCTAAATCAGTGTTTTTACTGTCGACGTGCTTTATGGATGCCCCCTTACTTAAACAAGTTTTTCAACATTTTATAGATGACTTGTAGCAACTGATGCAATTTTTTTCTTCATGATTCATGAATGATTGATTAAAAATCGTTTTTAACATTTGTCGAAAAAAAAATTTTGCTTGCATTTTACTTCAAAAAGGTTTATAAACAGATCGTAGCTAAACAGAAACAAATTTTTTAGCTATAAATGCAACTAAGGCTAGCCCATTTGCGTAATATTCGGACGTTAAAAATTAGTTAACTGAAGAGCTCTTAATGTTTTTTAAAAATCTTATACCTTCATGCTATAGAAGATATATAGATGCCATAGATGTCTTTCATGCTATAGAAGAAATGAGATTAAATGGAATACATCAGTGAAACGGCTTCCAAAAAAGGAATACATCAGTCAAAAAGGAATATATCAGTGAAACGGCTTCCAAATGCTCTTTTTTCTTTAAATTGATAACAGATTTTTCTTTTATTGTAAGTATAGTTTTAAAACAAAAAAAATTAATGGATTTTTTTTTACAGTCGTCACTTTAACTCTTCATAATAAACCTTTTGATTTATTATCAACAGTGTTTTAAAATTGATGTATATGACACTGAATGGTCCACTATTACTCTGAATTTAGCCAAGTCTTGATATCCTAGAAGTGAGACCTATTATGAGCAATGCCCAGGTTTAAAAGGATAATTCATGAAAAATCATGGTCAGATTTTCATGAATGTTTAAATCTTTATTTATCTGATATTTTACTTCACTGCATGCATAGTTAGATTTACGAATTATTTTAAAAGATGCAGTCAAATATTGCTACTGTTGCAGATACTTAAAAAGATATTGACATTTTCCAAATAAAAGATTTTCCAAAAAAAAGGGTAGATTTTCCAAATAAAAGGGTAGATTTTCCAAATAAAAGGGCAGATTTTCCAAATAAAAGGGCAGAATTTTTAATATTAGGAGCAATTCAAATTACGTGAATTGTGAAATCTTACCTAAAATGTATAACTGAGATTGTATAACTGAATTTTTTCACACATGTGAATGCAGTAGAAGAATTTCAGTTATACACTTCAGATATATAAGATCACTTGTTTTTGACATTACATTTAGTAACTCTGGGTATAAAAAAAAGCTTTTTTTTATAAAAGTATTCGACTGAAAAAAATGTTCAAAAAAAGTTATTTTACAGGCTGGTCAAAATCACATATATGAAAGAGTTCTGTTCACAAAGAATTGTTTGGTGCAACATCGGGTCCTGAAAACACCAAATTTATTGAATTCAGAGATTCAATTTGGCTCAATATTAATACATGTTTTTGTACAAAATTCAAAAATAAAAGTTTGCAAATCCATGCGAAACAATCTATACAGTTACTGAAGACAATACTTTTTACAAAAAATAGATAAAACATGCTAACTTGTCCTTCTTCAAAGAAAGTAGACTCGCACATTTCTACTCTATTATAAATGTATATATAATGGAAAACTAAATGTACCATCTTATAAAACCCAGAAGTATGGTAAGTATACGCTTGTCTATCAGTGCCTTTGTGAGTGGAACAGGAGCCTTGTATGCGTTTTGAATGAGCTCAAAAAACTACAATCTAAAATACTTTTAATGTTTGTTCTATGTGTTTTAATGTGTCTTTGTGCTTATTATTACATATATTTAAAAATTGGTGTCACTTCTTTGATCAGACTTCTGTATGAGTGACACCATCCTAATAAATCATTAACTTATTGTTATAAATAATATTATGATTATAACTACCATTATAATATTTATTATTCTTTTATTATTATTATTTTATTTGTTTTTATTATTATTATTAATACTATTGTAAAAATGATTAATGGAAAATAAATAGCTTCTTGTTGTTGTTGCTGCTGACATCACGAATATGCTAAACTAATATTGATACTTCTCGGTGATCTGAAAGAAAATGCATTAGGTGAAACCAGGATTATGCTCGATAAATGCCATCAATTTGGTATCCTACAAAGATGTTAGCTTTCAGTTCCCTAACAGGACATGACTAGAACATGATCACAAATCAATGCACTTTTTTATGTTGAAAAGAATTACTGTAAACACGATTCACAAGTTGTAAATGCAGCTTTAAGAGCAATGGAAACTTCTGGTACTTAAGTGAAAGATGCACCCTGTTCTCTCTATTTTCAAATAGACCTGCTTCTTCAGAAAAGCAAACAATTAATTATTGCTTCGAGTTCCTCAACCAAAAGATCTTGAAATCGGGTTTCCAACCTTTTCTTTTCTTACCAATAGTACAAAACTAACATCGCTTATTAGGCCTACATTTGAGAATCTAGAAATAGAAGACTTAACCTTAGGTTAGTAAAGTGGTAATGGAAGTAGTATCTGGACAAAAATCAAAGATTAGGTCCTTGAAAAGATATAAATTTTTATATGGAATGATTAAAAAAAAACCTTTAATTTTGACAATAGGTTATCTTATTTTGGAATTATTTTACAAACCACAGATTTGGGAAAAAATTTTCATTTTGCAAAAAAAGAGGTTTACTTATGCAAAGTTTGGTTTATTGTTGGTTTGTGAGTTATAGCTGCCTAAAATGGGAATAATGAAATCATTATTTAATTTTTATTTTGCTAAAATTTTATAGTATAATACCTTATATGTATCAGGCCCGTAGCAACCGGGTGGGCAGCAGGAGCATTTGCCCCTCCCCCTAATAATTTTTTAAATAAATAATCTTGAAAAAATTGACTGAAAAAATGACTAAAAAAAAAGTCCATTAAAACTATTTCGGGATAGTACTGCCCCCCTATATAATTTTTGTTCCTACGGTCCGCCATGTGTTAAATAATACTTTATATGAGCAGAAAATGAAAGGTCGAGAAAGCTGAGACTTTTAGAACTTTAAACTTGGATAATGATGGTTCTTTATATCCATTGTATACTTCTTTGAACGCTATGACTGAGTAGTCTATGAATCTCTCTCATACTTTCTAACTTCCTGATAAAATTTAAAAACTTTTACTAGGCCAAGCTGAGGTGAAAAGCACCTATACTGCTGAGGTGAAAAGCAAATGATTCTTATATTCCGCAACTTCTAACTTCTATTAGCTTTTCCCATGCCCCATTATTTCTTATGGTGTTCCTGAAAAATATCATTTTATAACCTCTTCTTCGAGAGGTAGAGAAACATTAGAGCCACTTCTATATCATCATCAGAAGCATTACAGCCACATCTGTATCATCAGAGGCACAGATACATTACGGCCACATCTGTATCATCAGCCACCAGTGTTGGAGAACAAAATTAAAATCTTTTCCTTCAAACGTTCCATAAATTGAACAATCCACTAAACTACTAGTTCCATGCTAAAAAGATTTTCATTTTACTTTTTTACAACCTAATTTATAACCTGAGAAAAAATTTCACTCAGCATCAGATCATCTTTCTATCTTAAATTAAATTTACGATTTCAGAGAAATAAAAATATTTGAAACTAATTTTTACTCAAAAACTAACATTTTGCATAAGCAAACATTTTATTTATCAGATCAAAAAGATGTCAGACTAGTGTTTTGATTGGCTTGATTTTGATTGACTAGTGTTTTGATTGGCTTGATTTTGATTGACTAGTGTTTTATTGGCTTGATTTGACTTTACAAATATTTGGCTTTTATATCAGGGTAACATGGACAGAGCAATAGAAAAAAAAGTTCTCTCTCCTTGATTTTAAACTGTTAGTCAATCAGCAGCACATATTATTATCAGTTCCCGAATTCTTTAGCAAAAAATAAGATAAACCATCATTAAATGAAGTAAGTGACCCACCTTCTCCAGTAGCTATTAGACGTCATGCAGCAGCAATATATTTGTGCAAAAGTGATGCTTGTTATGGTGGTTATGAGCACTTTCAAGAATGTACAGGGAAAAAAAACCTTGCCATTTTTACCCTACAAAATATTCGCGCTCTTAATGTGAGAAGTGTAAAGTGTCACTTAAACGAGAACAATAAAGATTTTCACCGATTTCGTAAAAAAACTTATTTTTTGTAAATGAACATTTTCTTTATAATTTTATGAACACAGTGTGTGAAAATCTTCTTAGTGTATGTATAGATGAATATATATTTTTCTATAATATTGACTGTTTCTAAAAGTTAAGCTATTGAAATACATCTTTAACTGTTATATATATATATATATATAATATATATATATATATATATATATATATATATATATATATATATATATATATATATATATATATATATATATATATATATATATATGTATATATATATATATATATATATATATATATATATATATATATATATATATATATATATATATATATATATATATATATATATATATATACATACATACATACATACATATATACATACATACATACATACATACATACATACATACATACATACATACATACATGCGAAAAACATTCCTAATAAATCAAATGAAAGTATCTGTGAAAGACATTTCTAATGTATCAAACAAAAGCATGTGTGTCCCTAATAATTAAAATAGCAAAATTTGTAATATTTGTAATACTAATGAAAAATATCAATAATCAATATCGATAGAAGACAATTTTGCATTTATAATTCAGCTGATGGATGCAGACCTTATAATCCTAAGTCATGTACCTCTCCCACTATTAGTTTTAGTAAAAAATTGCTTTCAGCTTCACAAAATATAATTTCTGATTAGTTGACTGAATTTTTAACATAATTACAATAGAATCTCTTCACACTCTAAAAGAGAAAAAAGACAATATAGTGATCGATTAACAGTGTTTTTTTACTGATTCTCTTAAAACAATCAATATTTAAAGTACTATATTTGGTAAAGAGTACCGAACTTTGTATTAATATTTTTTCAATCTACTAAATAAATAATTAAGTCTTTTCAAAAACAGATTTTATTTTAATGATAATTTTTCAAAACATTTGGAAGTGATGCGTTATTTACAGTTTGAAAACAGAGGTTTGATATAAAACGCTTTTTTAGACCAAATATTAATTATTATTTTTACTTGACATTTGAAGGCGCAGACAAATTCACACCATAAGTTGTGTTTAGAATTTTCCAGATTTCACGGTATATAAGTTTAATGAATAATTACTTCATTCAGTCTTCACAAAGACTGAAGGACAAAGACTGAAGGACAAAGAGAAGGCTCTTTCAACCATTTTATCACCCAAAAAAAATTATTTGTCAAGTTATATTATATTTGTATATTGCTAAGTTTATATAAGATATGGTAATACAAGTTTGTATGTTACTAAAAAATTTGGTACTATTAAAAAAAATGAAACTCTAATAAAATATCATACATAACTAAAAAAGTCTTTTTGAATAACACAGACACGATTCAAAATTATAATTTAAAAAATTCAATATTCCTCATAATCCTATATCCCTATACACTGAGGGAAGATTTCTTTACATTATCATTTCGAATCTTGTCTGCATTTTTCAAAAAAAATAACAAGACTTTTCTAGTTATGTATGATATTTTATTAGTGAAAGGTACATGCTTGTCAAGGATCTTAAAAAAATTTGAGAATTATTTTATAGAAGGAAGGAACAATTAGTAGTTTTTTAGAATTTATTTTAACATTTAAGATGTTTAAACTTTAGTGAACCACCATTAGTAAGGCAAATGTTTAATTTTTTTCATTAGCTATGCTTTTCATTTTGCTTATATTAGTAGATTTTACTTTTTTTAAAATATAAATTAATTTTAAATTAAAAGACTTTGATTAAACCTTTGTATTTGAGTTTATTACTTAAAGCTTTTAACTTACATAGTTTTCACTTGAGGAATACATGTTTAGTATGTATTCGTCGAGTAAACATAAAACCATTAAGCCTCCTTCCTAGTTTCTCCTGTATCTCCCTAGTTTGTAACCAAAGATATTTTTAGATGGATATTTTCTCCTGTATCTCCCTAGTTTGTAACCAAAGATAATTTTAGATGGATTTCAAGATCCACATCAATTGAATATACAATGATATATTCAAGGGTATCCTGAAATTGAAGGGTCTGATGCTGAAAGATTGACATTAATTGATGACTAGGTATCATAAAAAAAGTAAAGAAATGAAAGGTGTCTACAGAAATGCCTTATCTGACTTCTTTTACATTTATTTCTTATTTTTTATAGATAAGAAATAAACGTTATTGTTAAATATGTACAATAAATATGTTTTAATGGTGTAAAATACTCACTTTAAGGTTTCCTTTTTTAAAGAATGTCTGCCATTTTTGTTTTCCAGTTTCTCGTGCTTCTTCAAAATCCTAATTACATAATTATTATGCTAATTACACAGTTATGGAATAAGTTGTAATATGCATTCTTATATAAAGTTATAAGTTGCAATATGCACTCTTATATATAGTTATATATATATATATATATATATATATATATATATATATATATATATATATATATATATATATATATATATATATATATATATATATATATATATATATATATATATATATATATATATATATATATATAGTTATAATTTGTAATATGTAATTATAACTATATATTCTTATATATAGTTACAAGTTGTAATATGCATTCTTATATATAGTTATAAGTTGTAATATGCACTCTTATATATAGTTATAAGTTGTAATATGCATTTTTATATATAGTTATAAGTTGTAATATGCATTCTTATATATAATAATAAGTTGTAATATGCATTCTTATATATAGTTATAAGTTGTAATATGCACTCTTATATATAGTTATAAGTTGTAATATGCATTCTTATATATAGTTATAAGTTGTAATATGCACTCTTATATAGTTATAAGTTGTAATATGCACTCTTATATAAAGTTATAAGTTGTAATATGCACTCTTATATAAAGTTATAAGTTGTAATATGCATTCTTATATATAGTTATAAGTTGTAATATGCATTCTTATATATAGTTATAAGTTGTAATATGCATTCTTATATATAGTTATAAGTTGTAATATGCATTCTTATATATAGTTATAAGTTGTAATATGCATTCTTATATGTAGTTATAAGTTGTAATATGCATTCTTATATATAGTTATAAGTTGTAATATGCATTCTTATATATAGTTATAAGTTGTAATATGCGTTTTTATATATAGCTATAAGTTGTAGTATGCATTCTTGATGCTGCATATTGTGTTTTTTCAACTTGTAAAAATGCAAAAACATGATGATCAAACTTTTGCTCCATGATTAAACTATAAGGTGAATTTAATTAAAGAGATTAAACCTCTGCTACATAAATGAATAAACTCCTGCTCCATCAAATTTTCAGAAAAGTATAAAAGAATTTATTGCTGCATAAAAACAAATTTCTATAAAAAAAAGGCCTTCTAAAAATCAATTTTCTTGTTGTTGCTTTTTTGTATCTATTTATGGATTGATGTAGTTATATAGTAAAAATGAATATTTTAATAAATAGGAAATATAAAGCAAATGTTTTATTCTTCAAAACTAATTACAATGTATAAAAAAAAAAAAAAAAAAAAAAAACAATAAAAGGTAAAGTTTTAAGAAATTTAATGGTTTTTATGATTCGTTTGTGACCATGTTTTAAGTACCGTAAACCGGGGTAACTTTGGCCATTTTAAAAAATTTTAATTAAACATCTCTAACTTTTAAACAGTTAAGTAACGTTTTACTATTTTTGTTTTATTTGTAAATGCAATCTATCTTGCTTAAATTTTGATATGAAGTTTGTTGCAAATGCTCTTTACTATAAGTAAAAAAGAATGAAAACTATATCTTGGTCAAACACAATCAAAAACTGTAAAACAGAATGTTGTCTGGGCGAAGATAAAAGTGATAGCAAACAACTCAGTTTTTCTTCTTTTTTAAAGACAAAAGTTCAGATAAAATTAAGCAAAAAGTTTTTGGCTCAAGTAATAACATTCTGTTTTTTTTTACTGGGTAGTCAAAGTTACCCCGTAGGTTTATACTCTTTTGGGGTAACTTTGGCCAAGCAAATAATATTCATTTTAAAGTAGTCTGATCGTTATTTATTATAACTAATATATTATTTTGAAGCATGTTATCCAAATAATTTTTTTTTGAAAAACAGATTTTGCATGAATGTATTTTGGATTTTAAAAAAAGTATATTTTCTTGTTAAACTATTTGTTGTTGTTGTTGCTAAATCAATATTGCAATTTAATAAAATTATATAATAGTTTAATAAGTTACTACATTGCAGTTTGCTTGTGTTGTTTATATTTACTTTTGTTTAAAGCATAACGCCTCGCAAATATAACAAGCATAGTGTTGGTAAACGTGCATACACAACTTGTTCTAATACCATTCTTTTGAAAGAGTGTATGGGTGCAATTAATGAAGGTATGTCTATTCGTCAAGCCTCAAAAAGGTTTAGTATACCAAAAAGCACTATACATAATAAGATGAAGTCAAAACATAAAAAAATGCATTGGTGCACCAACCATATTTACTTATGATGAGGAGCAGTTGATGGTTTGATGAAGTTACTTTTGAGGATTGGTTTTTTAGAACATTATTTCCATGCATTAAGAAACAAACTGGGAAAAAAGTATTAATAGGTGACAATCTCTCTTCCCATAGTCATAAAGTTATTCATTCTTCTGAAAAACATAACATTAGATTCATATGCCTTCTACCTAATTCAACCCACTTGCTTCAACCTCTTGATGTTGCATTCTTTGCACCATTGAAAAAAGCATGGAGAACTATACTTCTGAATTGGAAACTTACTTCACATGGTAAAAAATTTGCAATGTTACCAAAAGAAGATTTCTCTAAGTTGCTGAATGATTTAATGACATCCGTTAATACATGCTTGAGAAAAAATTTAATAAATGGTTTTAAAGCTTGTGGTTTGGTGCCGTTTAATCCTAATACTGTGTATATCAAATTACCAAGTGAAAATGCCTTAAGTCCTCGTAAAGCTTTAGACCAGAGCCTTTTAGACATATTAAATGAGAAAAAAAAATGAAGGTGGTGATAAGAAAGATGTTACACAAAGTAAAAATAAACAAAAAATATATATATCCAAAAAAAAGACTTAAAATTGAACCAGGAAAATCTATTTCTGTAGAATACGATAGTGAAACAGAAACAGCATCTGAAGGTGAATCAGTCTCTATTGAATTTATGATAGACTACTGAAGAGATGTCTAATTTTTTTTTTTTTAAAAAACAGAGTTTATGTTACAAATTGTTTGTTTATTCTTTAGTACTCTCTTATTTTTTGTCTTTTCTGACATTTAATATAAAAAATCAGTAAGTTTTTTTAATCATTTGGTTTAAAAATAATAAAAGAAAATCAAATTATTTTAGCTAATATGTTTCTTTAATACTGTTTATATTCGTTTTTATTGTCCTTTTTTTAATTTCTTGATATATTTTAAGTAACCCTTTTTGAAATAATTGCGAACTGTAAGTTTAAATTACATTAAATCTTGTTAATAACACTTCATTTACATCCGGTGCTAAAAAACAATTTACTATGTCAAAGTTACCCCATTGCCGGGTAACATTGACCACCTCATTATTTCCATAAAATCTTGGATTTGGTGAATACAATAAATACACCATTTTACTAATTAAATGACATAAGTAATTCACAACTTTGAGCATCAAAATAGTTTTGGGAAAATTTTCCTTTTTTCTTAAAGTTATCTTCTTCATCAAAATTGGTACAAAGTTACCCCGGTTTACAGTATGTATTTACAACAAAAAAAAAAAAAAAAAAAAAAAAAAAATTTTTTTACTTTTAAATCTGCTAAATGGTTGTAATTAAATTAAAACTTTTAAATCTGCTAAATAATTGTAATTAAATAACAAAAAAAAAGCAAAAAAAAATCACAAACTAAATTTAACAATTTCAATTAAAGAAGTTTAAAAATCTGTAATTTTTTATCCTTCCTTAAGGTTGATAGGTTTTTTATCCTTCCTTAGGGTTGAGAGGTTTTTTTATCCTTCCTTAGGGTTGAGAGGTTTTTTATCCTTCCTTAGGGTTGATAGGTTTTTTATCCTTCCTTAGGGTTGATAGGTTTTTTATCCTTCCTTAGGGTTGAGAGGTTTAATAGCCTAAAGCATTGAAAAAATATCAATTCAAACCAAATGAACATTTTTTAAACAAGTTTAAATTTACAGCAGGAAAGTAAAGCAGGACTATGTTAACAAATAGATCTATATCTTTCATGGAAGTAATTAATATGAATGCACTTATTTAAAACATAAAGATGCTTTTGCATATAGCATAAGATGCATAAAGATTCTGAAAATTAATTTCTTATATAAAAAACTCAGTCAGAGTTGAAAAAAATCGGAGTTTTGATAATGTTTTGTTATAAAATATTTTTTTTTTTTTTTTTGTGTATGTATTTAGGTACTCCCAGAAGTCCTTACGGTCTTATCATAGAGCACTGCGGTAGAGCATTTAACAGGAAGTTCACGCCTCCTTCCGTACCAATGTCGCTTGTTGGGCTAGAGCTGGCGTCAAACCCCAGACTTCTGGGTTCTGAGCCAGAACTCTAACCACTGCGCCACGGCTGCTCGTGAAAAATTTAACTATTAAGTTGATAATTAAACATTTATTATTAGATAAAACATTGTATTTATTTTTTTAATATTATATATTTCAATTTACAATTATAAAATCATAAAATTTTTAAATAAATTTATATTTTTTTATTTCTTAATATAGAATATATTTTTTATCACAATTCTTTCATGAACAGGTTTTATCTAATAAATGGCTTAAATTCTGTGGACAGTTCAAATTTCAAAATTTTACAGATTTCACACCAGTTGCTTCATATTCTTTTAACTGATCGGTGAAGGTCTTGATTTTTTTTGGCTTTTTAGCTGTTGAATAATTTTAATTAAGAGCATCTTTAATTTCTGCAAAAAAGGATGTTGATTGTGATGGTTCTCCTACTTTGCCTTTAGCGTGACCATCTAAATTTGTTCTGTTGCAAATATTTGATCAAATAATTTTGCAGCAGAAACTTGAATATCTTTTTTCGAAGCATTAAAAAATGTCCGGTTTTTATTTTTTTTAAATCGGATGCGAACATGTTTTTATGACTTTCATATCTGGAGATTAACGTCTCTGCAAATTTAGAAATGATGTCAGTTTTTAGAACCTTCAATTTGCTAACTAACGTTTCCATAAAAATATCACACTCCAAAAATGTTGTATTTTATTTTTACAAGCGATCTGCATCAGCAGCAATGATTCTCAATAAATCAGACAGTGATTTCAACAAATCCAAGACAATACTTATATATATATATATATATATATATATATATATATATATATATATATATATATATATATATATATATATATACACACATACAAGCATATATATATATATATACAACTTCAATTTCACCAAATCCAAGTCAATGTAATTTAACATGTTTAGTTCCTTGAGTATTTTTTATCTTTAAGTTGTATAAAAAAAAAACGCATCCAAATATCTTTTTATCATCTCAAAAACACTGTTCCACTGTGCGGATGTTGAGCAACAGTCCTTTGTCATGTAAAGACCCGTGAATTTTGTGTTTGTTTCTTTTAGAACTTCATATTGAAACAATCAAAATTTCAAGAACTTAATTAGTATTCAAAGTTTCTTTAAAATTTTTTTGTTATTTTCTTCATATTCAATCTTTTCTTCCAAATAATTAATTACCAATTCTCCTTCAGTCTCCCAATCAGTTTCTGCTGCTGCTTCAATACCCAATTTGTTTTTTTTAGCCATTGGAGTTAGGGTCGGCATTCGCATTGCCGAATGCTGACTCTAACTCCAATGGCTTTTATATATATATATATATATATATATATATATATATATATATATATATATATATATATATATATATATATATATATATATATATATATATATATATATATATATATATATATATATATATATATGTATATATATATATATATATAATGTTTTTAATTGTATATATATGTGTGTACATATGTGTGTGTTTAGGAAACTGCATAATGCCTTTTTTTTAATTCAAACATTTAACTAAACAAGGTTTATTTAAAATAAAAGGAGTTCAAACCAAAACTATCATGTTTTTTTTTGTGTTTTTTTAAAAAATCCAAGCTTTTTTGGTTGTTTTTTTTTTTTTTTTTTTAAAAAAAAAGTTTTATTTCAACCCTGTCTTTCCTATAGTGTTTTTTTATGTTTTTATCCATAGTTTATGTTCTCTTTATTTATTGTAATTGATTTGTCCTTAGTTTTCTTTTATGTTTTTAATTAGCGGTTATTTTTTGCTTATGTTAGAAGTAGTATTAGTTGCCACAACAAACAAGAGCTTGTTTTCTCTGGTTTTAGCAGCCAACATAGTAGCTTGATTAAGAACAAAATTAAAACCATTTCTAATCTTTTCTAAACTTTTTTAGATTATAAAAATTTATTTAATATTCTGTAAAACAGTTGAAGATGTTTTAAAGATGACTTTAAGATGTATGATGCATTGAAAATGTATTTATGTAATTTATTCCATTTATTCACCACACAACTTGTAAAAAAATTGATGATACTGTTCATTGTAACTAACTCTAATTAGCTTGAAGTAATGGCCTTGTTAACTCTCTAACTAGCTTGATGTTATGATCATTCTAGCTTTTTAACTAGGTTAAAGTTATTTTGATTATCTGGAAAAGAAAACAAATTTTTATTGCACCAGCTTATAATATATGAGCCATTTATTATTTTAAAACAGTGTATTAGGTCAAAAATCTTTAAACAACTAAATATGCAAAAAAAATTTATCTCTTATTGTATTCCAACAGTAGTCAACATATTGCATTCCAATCGTAATCAACTTCTGAGCAATGGAATCAGAGGAGTTAATTTGTAAACTTCTGAAGACCATATCTTTTTAATGAGGGTTTATAACTGATATTGCAAATTACTATGTCTTATAATGTTTTGAGTAGTCTAAAATCCAAATAAGTGAAAATACAGTTTACCATTCCAAGGTAAGGTTTATTTTAAGGTATATTTCACACTATAATATAATTAATATAAGTATATTAGTAAATATAGTATAATATAAGTATATTATAGCTGCTACTTGCTATTCAGAATTTTTCACTGACAATTTATACTCCTATAAATTTTAACAAACTGTTTTACAAATTTATTTATTTTTATTTATGAATAATCCTAAGTTTAATTAGGTCCAAAATTGATAAATAAATTAATATATATAATAAATACTGTTTTTATGTTATCTACTAATTCTAATTGAATATCATATAAAAAATATTTATTAATTTTATGTTTTCTGCATTTTAACTATTTTTGATAAATGTTTGAATGTGTTTTAAAATGTTTATTTTTTGACAAAATTATAAATCATTTTAAATGTTTTATATATATCAACCATGAGTTGCTTAAAAAAATTTCATGTAACACAAATAAAATAATTTTCATGTTAAGTGAATAAAATAATTTTCGTATAATGCAAATGGTAAAATTAAATAATAATGGTTAAAATAAAGTAAATACAATATATTAAACCTCAGAATTAAAAAAAAAATGAGTTCACAATAATTGGCCAACCTCAATCTTTTGATTGATCTGCATCAGGTTGGCAAAAAAAATATTACAAAAAATAGAAACAATTGGTCGGCATTGGCAAATGCCGCTCCTAATTCTGAGAACTGATATATTAAATACAATAATAAGTATATAAAATAACTAAAACTATATACAACAAGAAAAATAAAATATATTATACCATAATATAATAAAAGGAAATAACAAAGCTTAACCTTCATTCTTTGCTTCTTTTTCATAAGTTTTTTTTTTTTAATTTCTTTTCGTTTTTCTAGTTCTTCCCTTAATAAACAAAAATAACAATATAAAATATAAAAAATTAGTAAATAGTAACAAAGTAATATTTAAGGACCTACCTGGTTTATTTATTTAATAATTTAAAGGCCTACCTGGTTAATTTATTTACTGGCTTAGTCCCTATTGTAGCTTTTTTATCTTCTTTTTCAATTCGTGATAACAATGATACCTAAATTTTTATAAAATATCAAATATTTATTTTATAGCTAATATTCAATGTTGCATGCGTTAGAGATAGATTTACAATTTTAAGGTTTGAATAATATGAAGTACTTTAACTAAATCGACCAATCCACTGTTGTCAAACTTTACAGTACATGAAACTCCATCCTCAGAAATCATATCAATAGTTGCAGTATGAAGCCTAGTAAAACAATATTACCATTTAAAAGAATCATACTTTAAAACTGTTATAAACATGTAAACACATTTTCCTAAAAAAAATCTCTATTAGGTCAATGGTCAATGTTACATAATTTATGTAAATATTGAATAATTAGAATAATTCAATATTGAACACTGACCTAATAGAATAATTCCAACATACAAGCCATTATGTTGCCTTTTATGTTGACTAAAATATAATAAGCTTTATCATAGGAGATTTCTCTGAAGCCATGCTTTTAGACACCACCAGTTCTAAAAAACCCTAAACTATGTTAAAATGTGTTCTTAAAAATACAATTATATTTCTGTCAGGACTGTAATAACAACGAAATCCTCAACTGCAAAGTTCAGTGGTCCTAATGCCTGCTTTGCTGAAAATAACTCATTTATCATAATCCATTTAGCCTGTTATTATAATTGAAGTAAATTCCACAAAACTTTATACGTTTTTAGTTTAAACAAAATGAAATTTAAAAGGAATGGAAGAATTAAGATTTTAAAATAACTTGTCCTGAAAAAAAAAAACTCTGATGATTTTACTTACGGAGTTTCAACGAGTTTTATCACAACTCAGCCTAAAATAAAAACTAAGAAAACTCATGAAAAATGTTTAAAAAAAAACTTCATTTGCAAACACTTGGTTGGGGAAAACTTTGGATAATTATTTCCTAAAAATTTATATAATGAAAGCAAAATGTTTTTAAGGAAAAATTAAAATTTTATTTAAAAAAATTACAAAAAATAACTAAATACAATTAACTTTAAAAAAAACTAAATCTAAATTTATTACCTTATATAAATATCTTTCCAAACGATCAATTTATAAATAAAACAAATCAGTGACAAAAATATATTAAAAAATCTAATATTACTATATACAAGAACAGATATTTTGATTAATGCCTTGAATTTATGTCATTTTTTATTATAGTCTTGAATTAAATGTTGTAAAAAAATTTGGATTTTTTTTTTTAATTTTTCTTTTCATTTTAAAAGATTTATATCTATATAAGTAAAATAATACAAGAATAATGAATGGATAAAAAATGATTAGAAAATGTAGAGGCAATGAATGATAACAAATATAAGTTTTTAGCAATATTACTGATGCTGATCTAACAGATAAAAAATACTATTAATCCCAATGTATTATTTAAGCATGTACATGTGACAATATCATCATTTAAGCATCTATTATATTAATATACCACAGGTGTTTAATTTAAGGTTTATTAAAATATGTACAAATTACTACAATAGTAGTCAAAATATAAATTTAAATGGGTGAAAACACTTTTTAAGTATAGGGGGAGCATTATGAATTTATTGAAAATTTTTATGCAAAAATTCAAAACATTTTTAGAAAAATTGAACCCACTATTTTATTACTATAGTGGAAAGTAAAAGTATGAAAAAAGGACTCAAGACCATCTGAGATTTAGGTAATGAAATCTATCCAACTGAAAGATGTAAAAATGGGGAGTGATAATAATGATTTCATGAAATATTTTTTTGCGCATTATGTTTTTATTTTAATCTGAAAAGGTTACTTACATTCCATCAATTTTTCGATATACTTGTACACGATCTCCAACTTTCCATATTGCTTTTGAGGGAGCTTCTTTTTCAGGTATACCCTCTGCCTAATTTTAAAAAAATCTCATTGTTTTATTTTATATATACAGTATTTGTGTAACCCTGACAAATTTATTTTATACTAAATGTGTAACCATAAAAAATTTATTTTAGATATCTATTATTTAAATTAATTTTATACTAATTATGTAACCATGACAAATTTATTTTATACTAAATGTGTAACCATAACAAATTTATTTTAGATATCTATTATTTTAATTAATTTTATACTAATTATATAACCATGATGAATTTATTTTATACTAATTGTGTAACCATGACAAATTTATTTTATACTAAATGTGTAACCATAACAAATTTATTTTAGATATCTATTATTTTAATCAACTTTATACTAATTATGTAACCATGAAGAATTTATTTTATACAAATTGTGCAACCATGACAAATTTATTTTATACTAAATGTGTAACCATTACAAATTTATTTTAGATATCTATTATTTTAATTAATTTTATACTAATTATGTAAACATGATGAATTTATTTTATACTAATTGTGTAACCATGACAAATTTATTTTATACTAATTGTGTTATGCCATGACAAATTTATTTTAGATGTCTATTATTTGAATTGTATATTGCTCAATTTAGTATACACATGATGATGCAAGAAGTAAATATTTATTAATCAAATATAAAAATACAATACAAAAAAATTATAATTTATTTGAATAACTCACCTCATTTATTTGAATTAGGTCATTGGTTAGAGCTATTACCTCCTAAACATATAAAAAGAAAATATGTTTGTTTTAACAGGAAAGAAAATAGAATATATAATTTGATACATAAAAGATTTTAAACATATTTACTTACTGCAGTTAATAATACTTTTCAAGACAAACCTAGTAACTTAAATGAAAGGAAACCATAATTTTTTTTATTAGTAGCAATACTTAGAACAATTAATTTTTTTAACCAAAATTACTTTTTTTATTTTTCATTATTTAAAGGGTTGCACTCTCACTTAATTATCTATTAACAATTGTGGTGTCAACACAAAATTGACCACAATAAGCAGGGAAGCTTTACTTGTTGTGCAAGGTTAAGGAACATTTATTAAAATTATAGAAATGCTAGCAAACAAAAAAGAACTTTAAGATTTATTTATTTCATTAGTTAAATTTTACATTTTTGGAATATACTTATATTTTTAACTGTATTTATCTTCACTACAGCTGAAGAGGATACTTAATTATTTTTTTAAATCGTTAAAACATCTGGGAATCCTTTAACTCAAAAATACAAGTCTTAACAAGTTTCTGAGAAATGAGTTGAGCATTTACGGCTAAAAATAATTAAAGAAATGAATTTATTCCAGCACATTAATGTACAAATTTATTGAGTAAAAAAATAAATAATTAGTATTATAAATAAATAATTAGCAAAAACTAAACACTTTTTAAGATAATTATAAAACTACCATGATGTCAGTTAATAATTAGCAAACACTACTATGATGTCAGTTAATAATTAGCAAAAACTAAACACTTTTTAAGATAATTATAATACAACCATGATGTTTAATATCTTTGTTCTATTGCAGGAAGCTTAATAGATTTTTTTATTACACATTGCACTTAAGTTGATAGTACTTTTCCAGAAACACATTTGCCAACTGATTGTAGTTATTATATGTACTGTTGCCTAAAAATCCATCTATAACTCTCTTTAAAGGTTTCCTGAAAATCTATCTATAACTCCTTTTAAGGTTTCCTAAGCTTCCACTTCTTTCCTTTTTAAAACTTAATCAAATCCAATGATTTTATCATGTTTGTATAAGTCTCCTTTATGTCATCTGCATGAAATAAAGACATTGTAACGCAACACAACATCTAAAGTGAGCTTCAAGAAATCTATAAATAGCATCCATTCCGTTAGAATTTAGTTCAAATTCTAAAATTTTATTAGGCCATTATCATCATATTAAACAACTAGATCACTTTAAGAGTGGTCTCAAATAAAAATCTCAAATAAATAAAAAATCTGATAACTCTGACTCTCTCTGTAATGTTAGACCCTGACATCATGCTGAAGACTTTTTTATTGTGATCTTGAACCTAGATGTTCTACTTTCTCCTTTGATAAACCAAGTTCTCAAATGAGATCAGACACAGCTGGTGTGGTACATCATCTTTTATCCAATTCATGAGATGTGAAAGCCTTTTTGGGTTTTTCTTTCACAATGTCATTATGTATAAATATTTCACTTTCTTTATTGTGTTGAGATCGAATAAGAACGTATTAGTAAACTATCTGAAAAAAAAAGACTAGGCAAAATAGTAGATAGAGGGTTTAGTTATTGAACTAAATTCATTTTTATTGACAATACTGCTTTTATAGAAGTCAAGCAGACATACAAGTCATCAGTATGGTTTAAAGATTCTCACTAAATCATAGACACAGCAAAAGCCATAAATAAATCGTTTTTGATATTTCAGCCATTTTTAAAATTCACCTTAGATTTCTTATCTGTAATGAAAATATTATTTCTCTTCATATAACAGAATTCACTAAATTTACACATTTTAGTGGCATTTCAATGAAGTTAACCTTCAGTGATGTATTAAGACATTTTTTGGGCATAATGGTCTGTCTGCGTTTTGAGGACCTATTTTTTTTTTAGCAATATTAAAAACTTAAAATTAGCTTTGGTTTTTCTAAATAGTAGAAATAAAAATATACGTATTTGCTGACTAATATAAAAAATGAGATAAAATTTATTTCCTTACTGCTTCTCCTGCAAGAGAAGCTTTATAACTGCAACATTTAATAAACAATATATATATATATATATATATATATATATATATATATATATATATATATATATATATATATATATATATATATATATATATACATATATATATATATATATATATATATATATATATATATATATATATATATATATATTTCTTTTAAATAAACTAACAAGATTTATTT